CCATAGTGATTTGAAACTTAAGTTCCAGACACAAATTTGCTGTCCCCCAAATCTTCCGTCTAGCATTTGTTTATGAAGAGCTACCAAATTCACCAAAGAAAGGCAAAATGCTGTTCTGAACTATTCAGCTCAACAGAAAGCTCATATTCAGCCACAGGAGGCCATAGGCAATTAACACTGTAAATTGGAGGGTTTGGAATCTTTGCATGACCTTTAAAGGGCAACACAGTAGCCCATTCACACATGTACAATTATACATGGACTAGTTCATAGAAAAAAAGTGTATATATGAAAATGTTTAGTAAAACAAGCCTTGTATTCAACAAAAGCTACTTTAAGTTCTCCAGATTTTGTGTGAAGAGTTTTGCAGAGCAAAAAAGAGACTTGTGGCTGGTTGTCCTCACTTTGTCAAAGTGCTAAATCCCTCATCACCATTATTGCTAGAATGTAACATTATCACACTATTGAAACTCACTGTAAGGAGTTGCCAAATCTAATGTTTTAAAAGAAGCGATATAAATATAAATTTAATTGAATGGCTAGATATGCTATTGCTAGAGGAAAGGGAAATATACCTTTGCTAACTGGCCATTCAGGAGAAATCATAAAACAATTACAGCCACTGTGGACTAATTTAGGAAACTGAAGGAAGTGATTAACAGGCCTTCATCTAATATAGGCAAGTATGCTCTGATTTCTTAGTTATAGCCCATGCCCCAAATAGATCACTGTGAACAAAAGAGAATAATTCCCTCACAGCTTATGCATTCACTAGTCATCCTACACTCAAGCAAACTAAAAGTTCTGTATCTCCCATGGCAATGCCAGTCAATTACCAGGTGGATACTGACTCAGTGACTGGTCTGTCTACCATTACAACCCTTGATGAAACCCAACAAATACATGTGATACACACACTGGAAGTGCATGGGTTTTAGAAATCTAGCACAAAGTGTGAGTATAGTACCAATGTGCTTCTGGAAAATTTGTAGCTCCCATTTGCAGATCACAATACTATGGTTCATGGTTTGTATTTTTACTATGAAGAGACATTAAAGACAGTTACAGACATATTCAATGCTTAAAATTCCTACTTCTACTGTCAATAAATATTTCCCAATATGGTCCTACAGTGAAAAACTGGCTTTTATTTTTTGCATTTGAAATATAGATAATAAAAGTATCTCCCAAAGATAAACCAAGGAAAAAATATATACTGTATATAAAAATGGTTCAAAGTATAAAACTCAATTATATATTATTTTGCTAAACTATAGACACAGTTGTACTGTAGGTCAGATCATATAAATTAATGGAAAACTAAATTAAAGAATTTTAATAGAATTTTCATGCCTCCTTTAACACAAAATCAATATTTTACATAAGCCTATTAAAAAAGTTTGTGTGTGCATATATAGGCATATGGAGATTATATAGATGCATGTAGCATAGAAATATATTTAAATTCTACTTTCTCCATTCTAATAAGTTTAGCCATTCATCTTAAAAACTTTATAAGAAAAAGAAGCAGAAGACAACAAGTATTAGTTTTACTTCATTGATAAGGGCATTGAAACATTGTACTGAATGAATTTGAATCGGGACTTCTGAAAATTACCCAATATATCAGTGGCCTGTGACAAAACAGAGATGAACTTGTAGGTCTCTGTTTGCTAATTCTACCTGTCTATGACACATTTCAGACTGCACTCCAAAATTAAAACTGTTCTATAAGAAGATTCATGGAAACTTACCATATGATAATTCCTTCCCTATCAATGGAATAATTAAATGTCTCAATATGCTCCAGATAAAGTTAATCATAAAGAACTTTCCAACAAAATGGTGAATTCATCATATTACAAGGTATTACAAAATCAGTGACTCGAAGGTAAGATGCATCATGTGAAATACTGTGCAAGTGTGCGGGCCAGAAATGATGTTGACTCAGCTGCCTTGGCCTTCAAATCTAGCAGCAGTTGGTATTAATGAATTTCTTCTCTTTGTTTTGATGGAGTCCTACTAACAACAGATTGACAAATTGTGTTTGTAAATATCAGGCATAGATCAAAGGAGACTATGCTGGATGCTTATTTTACTTCAATTTATGGTTTTCACCAAGAAAACAAAACATTACTGGTGAAGTTCCTTATTTTTACTTGAATTTTCAATGAACAAAACAGCTGCAGAATAATGTGACTTAATGAGACATCCCTAATAAATACTGCAAAATTAAAAGCAGGGCACTGAACTGTTTACACTCTGGTTGTTTAATCTTTTCAAATATATTAGAAATAGCCAATCACACTTTGGAACATTCCTCCTTTGGGACACACATCACAAAACTCATCAGTAAATGCTCGTCAGTTTGCAGTTACAGCTGAACTTGAACACAATCTGACAATACTGTTTTTTAAGGGTCATGGTAAGAAATTATTGGATCACAGGGTAATTCATATGATTCAATTGGTGATAAAATCAATCTTAAAATGTCCTTCATACATTTCAATATAAAAATGCCATTTAAGATGGTCATCAAAACACTGTACTGAAGATATTAAATATAAGACTAGTGAAATTTTCTCATAACATGTAAAACAATTTCTCTAAAATGTTGTATCACCCCTCAAAGTTTCATTATTTTATAAATTTTTAAAAGGAAAAAGTGGTCATGTCTAAAAATGAACCTTCTTTTTACAGCCATGTCATCACATTTTCTAACTTGGTGGTTAGTAAACACTACACTCAGAGTCTAAGCAGTATATATCCATTTTGACACAGGTCCATGAGTATCTTCTCTCTCCAATTCATTAAAGTAGCTAAATATTTTCAATTCAAAAATCAGACATACTCAGGCCCTTAGGTTCCCCTCTAACATAATTTGTGGCATTATATAGATATTTGCTTTGACATCAAAGTTTTTTTTAATCTTCTTTAAGAAGCTCTATATGCAAATGTGAGGCTGGCTAAGAATACTGTACTGTTTTCAAAGGCAAGAAAAGAATCAAGATTTTCACCCTTTTTAAAAAAAATGCCAATAGGAGTAAAGCAACACTCAAATTAAAACAATGTTTGCCTCTTACTAGATTCCCTATGCCTAAGTACTCAGTTGGCAAAAGTAGTGGTCTTATGCATATAAATAATACAACTCTATTGTTTGCACTGAAAATTAGGAAAATTAAAATAAGCATCCGTGTGGTTCCCGATAGCCTTTAAGTGGTTACTGATGACTTTAAAAATTAAAATTCTAAAAAGATCAAGATACAAACAATTGACTTAGGGTGAGAGATCCAGAACAGAATAAAGTGGGGGAAAAAAGACAAATAAATATGTCTGATCATTTATGAGAAATGTAAGATGTTAGGTCCTATTGTTAAATGGCAAATAATTCGCAACTTTGGGAGTACATGTGTAAACATGGAAAGAGTAAATACAAACAACCTCCATGCGCTGACATATTTTTAATCTCCTTTGCTAGTAATCTCATGCTTGACTACACATGGAAATCTTAAATTAATTACTCAATTGTCTTAAGTTGTATCACATAATAGAGCAGCTTCAGAATGTCCATTAATAACAGTCTGAGGGGTCATGTCTGAAACAATGTAGTTGGGAAGATAGAAACCAGATAATTACCAAACAGTGGATAGTCATTAAAATTCATCCTGTCCTGGGAGAAGAACCCTCCGACTGAGTGATTTGGGGTTGCCCTTCCGAATAGAAAAGCATGGGTTTGGGGCTTAAGATGAGCTTTTCTACCCGTGAAGGACTTCTTAAAATTGAAGAGGAGATTCCACAGTTACAAAACTAGGACGTTTTCTTTTCTGTCTCACTGCCACAAGCCAAACACCCAGCACAGGGTGAGGAGACGCTGGCCACTGTAGTAACTACACATTTGATTTCAAATGCTTCAGGCAATTGTTTAACACTCAGCCAGGAAGTGGAATACTGAACAGGAAAGCATGTTCTCCCCAAGGACTCTTGGGGAGCCTGTGGTTCCTCCTCCAGTAGAGGCTGGCGAGCCCAACCAGCAGGTCTAGGAGAAATGGGGCGACATATCTCAAACTTTCCCCTTTGCAAAAGCAGTTTCTGGAAATACCGCGGTGCCGACTGATGAGCAAAAATCCATAGTCTGAAGAAAACACCTCTTGGTAGGCACCTGCCCTTTTAGAAGGAGGAAGGGACAGCAAAGCAATTGGGCAGAAAAAAATCCGTGTACTATTGGCAAGATGTGGCAGACATCTGCCCAGAAAGAAATGAAAAACACATTAGTTTCCCCGAAGCTGTGCTTTTTCTCAACGCTGTTCATAAAAGGATCCTTCACTGAAGCTCTCTTGTAGTAACCTTGCAGAAGCTGTTTTATTCAGTAATAACGAGTCTGTTCCCATATCCAAATAAACATTTAAACGAATGAGGCTCTGGAACTTATGAGCGTAATCCTTTATGAAAATAGTTAGAGGTGGAGGAATCAATAGCCTCACGGAAACGCCCACCCTCTGCAGACAGGCCTGAGAATTAACTAGTCAGAGTGGACAGAAAGTAGAGATTTCAGAAAGATGACCTGACGCGTTCCTTTCATCATCGTTCCTCACTGATGCGTCCCCCTCCCGATCACGACCCCCAACTCCTTGTGAGGAGTCCCAAATGATCACCGGCCAGGACTGGTGAGGGGTGGAATTAAACCCCACCTCAGTTCTCGACAGGCTCTCTCGCCTGTGAGCGAAGAGAAGGTGGACGCCGCGGCTTCACAAGCCTCCGGTTGCTCGCTCAGGTCTCCGGTCCCTCTACTCCGCCCCTGCTCTGACCCGCAGCAGGCAGGACTCCAGCTGGGGGACCAGCATCTGCCCTCATCTTAGCCTCCCCCCGGGAAGCCCCTCCTGAGAAAGCGGAGGGGAGACGATTGCCCACGGAGACTTGGGGACGCGTGGTCCTCACCTGGCGGCTCTGGCCCCCCTGGTCCCCAGGGCCCGCGGGCTCCCGGAGGCGCATCTGCTACCTACCTGCAGCCGGGCTTCCGGGTGGCGGCAGCACCTAGCGATCGTCCTGTAGCTTCCGCGGGCCGACGCCAGCCTTACCGCTCATGCATCGCTTCCGAGATGCCAATCCGCCGTCACCACCCAGGGGCATAGGGACCCAAAGTCTGGCGATGTGTGCTCGCGGAGGGTGAGCAGAGTGGCCCCGAGCGTGCGTGTGTGTGCTCGCGCGCGCGAGTGTGCTTGCCTCCTCGGATGGCAAAAGGGGACTCGGTAATCTCTTCACATCCAAACTGGGATCCCCTCCCCAAAGCAAGTGGAAGATGGAGAGCGCGAGACCAGCGTTTCCTCTTTAGTCTCTGCTCTTTATTCCACAAATGTCAAAGTCATCTAAAGGTTTGTGGACTTAGGGGAAAGCTGAAGTCCCGCGGCCCTGGGCAGCGCCCGCAGTCGCCGCTGTCCTCGCCGGATGCGCACCGTGCGCTCAGCTCCCGCGACTTCCAGAATCCAGCAGGGCTTGCAGCAATCGCCGCTTATTCCATCTCTGATTTGTTTGCTTGTAACGCCGAGTAAAGACTTTTCCTCTCGCCCCACGTCCCCCCGCCGTCTCCCTCTCACACACACACACACACACACACACACACACACACACACACTCGCTCGCTCGCTCACACTCCTGGTTCCCTCTCTCCCGCCCTCCCTCCGGTTCTCCGGGAAAGGCAGCTGGATGCAATGATTCACCTTCGGCTCAGCAGCCTCCAACACGCGTTTCTCGAGTTCCTCGGCTCTCGCAGGCTCCGGCGTGGAGCAGTTCCGACCAGGAGAAGAGGCTCCTCCCCACCAGTCGCCCGTCTTCCCGCAATTCGCAGACTGGTCCCGCGGGTGCCCTCGCCAAGACTTTGATGCCTTCAACTCGAGTCCACTTAGCAGCAACTCCTGGTCAGCTGCAGCCCCTCGATCCCACCTCCCAGTGCTGCGGGCCAAGCCCCTCGCAGCTGTGCTGCCCCTTTAGGCATCCTGTGCTCGAAAGAAGGGGAACTCTCCACTGTCCCCCATCACGAGTGCGCTGGCACCGTCACCACGGAGAAGGTGCGAGTTCCAACATCAGACAGAATCAGGTGTCGCCTGTGTCACTTCGCTAAAGGCGGGAGCGAGAGAGAAAGGAACAAGGGGAGGGGGCCAAGGAAAGAAATCTAGATGACTAGAAGAAAAAGAAGCCCAACGCGATCAAAGCCTCCTTCCTGAGCCCCACTCCGGGCGTTGGACTGTCAAAATGCACTAGTGATGATCTTACAAAGTCACCAAGAGGCAGATCCCCCTGTTTCACCCTAGACTCCTGTTCCGCACAGCTGGCTGTCCACAGGGTTGGGAGCGACTGGCCCCACTGTGCAAAGCAGAGACGAAGGCAGGGAGAGGCAGGTTCTGACACTCCGGGCTGAGTTAAGCAGTAAAAGGGGATGGCAGGACCGAGCGGAGTTGCCTCCCTCTGTCCGCCTGCCGACAGCCAGTTCTGCTAGCTGTGGCAGCTGCTGCCGAGAGCAAACGCTGTCCTGCGTCCTGCGGAAAGAGACTGTAAAAGACAGCGGCAGTCGGATAAATGTTGGACTATGTCTCCCTCTAGAGGGAGAACCAGGTTAGAAAACTTTATTGGCTGTAACTAGGATTCCAATTTTTCCAAAAAGAAAACACTGACTTCAGAAAATTTTGCATTTCTACAACTACCAACCTCTAATATAAAGGTAAGATGATCTCTACAATCCTATGCAAGAATATTAATTGCTAAAGGAACTTAAAGATGCTTAGGGGAGTTTCATAGCAGGATCCTGGAAGGTCATGTCCTTAAGGTTTTGTCAAATTGGGACTTGCTTTAAATAGTGTGCGTACGACCTAGGATGAAGCATCTTCTTAGGTTCAGTTCACTTTTAGTGCTCTTGGCAAAGTGAAAAACTTTAACTTAGTGGTTAGAAGACAATAAAAAGTGAGTAATTAATAATAGTTTTAGAAACAAAGAAAGAAAATGCTGACTCAGGAAACATGACCAGACCTTTACAACGTGGGATAACTCAAGGATCTTGTCTTGAAATCCGTATTGGTTCTGTTTATTCAACTAGATTAATCGCTAAATTCTTTCCAGCTCCAAGGTTTTGTGCTTTCATAGCTCAATCATTAGCAAAATTCTCTCCATCAGCTATAAAGTAATAGTTGTTACAACATTTACAAAGAACTATGGTTTACATTTTTGCTTGTGATTTATCGAAACATGCTTAGTAATTCAGTCACATTTTCTATCTAAAACATTTCAAATAATTAAGTTGAGGTGATTATTTTAATGAAATGTTTCTGCAGATTTTATACAAAGGTTTTGTTACTTCAGACAAGATTAAGCTAGGACCACCTGTAACTTTCATATTTAGATTTTTTAAGCCTAGTATTTGAGTGGGAAATTTTTTACATCTATTTCTGTATTTTCAAATTATAAAATATGTGTTATGTTTATGATTAAACACCTTCCCACTCACTTAATTCTTTGACCCATTCTGTTTTAACTTGATAATTGGACTCAGTATAGTCTTAAAGAAAGACCTTTTTTAGATGAGTATTGAAGCCATTTCAAATAAGAAGCCAAAACTAAATAATTTGGGGTTTGGTGTCTTAACTGATTATATTACTGTAGATTTAAGACAGTTTAGGACATGGCAATCATTTGTTTTCAACATATCTTCAAATGACCTCTTTCAAAAATCAATGTTTCATGTGATTAAAGATTTTTATGTTATGCCACTTACATAGTAATTCATGTCCACAGGGAACAAAGTTTATATGTAAAATCACCTGGCCTTGTTCCATTACAAATCTTACAATAATGTTCTTTCTACTCTGTTAAGAAGCCATAGATTTCAAGAATGACATTAAAAACCTGGACTCTGTGCCACAAAGTAAAGCCATTTCAACATCACTTCAGAGCACTGGCCTCTCCCAACAAGAAGTCTAAAGCATTATCATCCTTCTAGCTTTTGATTCATAAGGAGCAGTTTGCAGTTTCATGAAAACCTGTAATTTCATCATATTTATTTCTTTTGTTAAAATGTGGGACATTTTATCCTTATTTTCCTAACTAAATCCACTAGATTTTTACTGTCATACGAAAAAGCTAATCAATGTACAATTACAAAATACAACTGAACTTTCTTATCTGACATCTAGTAATACCAAAATTCTCTAACACTTTTGTGTCAACTGTAAAAATCCAGGCAAATAGTTCCCCAACATTTTGAGATCAAGGTGCTAAAATCAGTACCTTCAAGACTCTGAAAAAAAAAGTCTTTTGCAATTCCTTCTAAAAGGAACAAAGTGGGACTGGAGAGACAGTTCAGTGGCTAAGAGCACTGGCTGCTCTTGCAGAGGACCTGGGGGTCAATTCCCAGCACCCACATGGGGTTTAACAACCATCTGTAATTCCAGTTCCAGGGGATCTAACACCCTCTTCTAACCTCCGAGGGCACTGCACAACACGGTTGCACCTACCTACATGCAAGTAATACATTCATACACATAAAATAAAAGTAAATAAAATTTTTTAAAGAAATTTTTAATTTTAAAAAAGGAACAAAGTACCAAATATACCCCCATCCCCTGTGGCTTAACAGAAATCTTGAGCTGGAAGTTTCTGCCTCTTCCACTCCCTACAGTAAAAAAAAAAATGCTTTCTTTAAATGTTGAACTTAACTGGACTGCAATTCCATCACAGCTCTTCATGTTTGGAGAACTTACTATAGTACCACTATGACACACTCCAAGCTTTCTTCTTTGTGCCTTAAAAATTACTTTACTGAAGTCCACCTAACATGCTATTTCCTGCCTAGAGTAGATATTTTCTGAACTGAGCTGTGTATTTTATGCCTTTTCCCATCAGTACGATTATATTGAGATCCATCCATGTTGTCTCCATAGCTCAGCCGTTACTTCAGAGGAGGAGTGTTAAACATGTTGTTTACCATTCACTTCTTGTGTTATTTCTAATTTAGGGATATTACAAACAAGGCAACTAAGGACATTTGTGAAGGAATCTTTCAGTTGAGCATGTGTTTTCAGTTCTCCTAGGTAAAGATCTAAGACTCAAAAGACTGAATCTTACAGTAGGGTATATACTTAACTTAAAAACGAAAGTTGTTTAGGAAAGTGTCTATGCCTTTACACATTACCATCAGCCATAGTAGAGATTTTAGGGGCATTTCAAGCTTCTAATAGAAGTTTTATAGGTTGTCTCAACACCACATCTCAAGTACTCACAATAGCCAATAAAATAGATGTCATTACCTTATTTAACACATGAACAAAATGTGACTTAATTTTTATTAATTCTCTGAAAATTTTATAAAATGTATTTTAACATTTTATTTATTATTTTCATTTTCTATGTATGAGTATATTGCCTGCATATGTGTACGTACACCTGTGTTATGCAATTCCAGCAGAGGTCAGAAGAGGTTGTAGGTTCCCCTGGAACTAGAGTTCTGGACAGTTGTTAGCCACCATGTGGGCGGCTGGGAATCAAACATGGGTCCTCTTCAAGAGCAGTCAGTGCTCTTAACCACTGAGCCATCTCTTCAGCCCCCCATGACTTCATAAAATGTATTTTTATTGTACTCGCCCTCCTCTTCCATCTCTTCAGAGATCCATGCAACTTCTACCCGCCCAACTCTGTATCCTCTTTTTGTTTAAATTTTGTTTTTAATTGAATTTTTACAATTTTCATGCAATATAGTTTGATGCTATTTAGATCCCCTATCTGCACCCCCCTACTGTCCCCTGTCCAATTTAATGTAGTCATATATATACATATTTCCTATAGTGTCCGATTTGCATCCCCAAATATCATCCTGCAAGACACTGTATCTCCCCCTCCCAGCAGCCATAAATTGCCAAAAGTTCCCTAGTTTGTGCTGGGATTTCTTACCCACTTCCCCGTGTATATGCTGGGGTTTTTGTCTGGTTTGAGCTTGTATAGGATTTGTGCATGCTGCCACCATTACTGTGCGTTCATATGAGTATGAGTAACTGACCAGCTGACAGACAGTTTCCTTGTGATCATCCATCATCTCTGGCTCTTACAGTCTTTCCACTCCCTCTTTCATGTGTCCCCCTTTTCTTTTAAACCCATGGAATTCAATTGGTGTTGGCCAAATACTCTTGGGTTTGGAGCCATCCCCAGAGCATGACTCTTCTTTCCCGGCAGCTATCATTTGCCAATAGCTCCCCAGCTGGGAGGAGGGGGGACTTCGTGCCCACCTTCCCTCTCCATGCTGGTACTATGTCTGGCTTGAGCTTGCTCAGGTCTTGTGCATACTGTCACAACTACTATGAGTTGATACATACACCTGTCCTATTCTGTCTGGAAAACACTATTTCACTGCAGTCATCCACTGCCTCTGGCTCTTATCATCTTTCTACTCCCTCTTCTGCAAAGATCCCTGAGCCTTTGGAGGACAGGTATGATACAGATGTCCCACTTGGGACTGAACACTCTGCAATCTCCTATTCTCTGCATCTTGACCAATTGTACACCTCTGTGTTAATCACCATCTACTGCA